AAGGACAGCAACTTGTCTGTTCCCCTTCCTCCGATTCCCCAGCACTGTTCCCCTCCCCCAATTCCCCAATAAAATCTTTAAAAAAAAAGATTGTTTAAAACAAAAAAAACTGCTTCAAAGGAAAGTGGTCTGAGCCGCACAGCAGCAGAGACTTTTGATATGAGACCTGCAGTGGCAAGAAAAATAGAAGGGACGAAGATCAGAAGCAAAGGGGGAAGGGGCATACAAGTTCTCCATTCGTGGGAGGCACATAGGAAACAGGAGTATTTAAGTCAGGGGCTGCCTATCTGGGATATTTCGGAAATAATATTTTGAGAATGCGAGTAGTATTTTAAATTAGTTTTATAAATGAGCATTCATGTGATTAAAGAATTTAACAAAATGAGATTTTCCTGTGATGACAACTACTACTGTGATGACTTATCTATTTTTTTCTAATTTGCTTTAGCAGGATATTGTTGAAATAGTTTCTTCAGCTGCTGAAGGATCCTTTTCAGTGAATGCCACCTTTGCACAAGAAATTGAAAATTGTCCAGTGGAATTGGTAAATATATGCATAGTCTTGGGAATGTTCTTAAAAACTTTGTTACTAAATGTTTAACACCTTGTTTACCTAAAAATTGGTTTTTAGAGATGTCATGTTACTTTCTAAAATTATAATTTAAATTAGTGATCTCAACAAAGACATGTATGAGTGGTTTTATAAAACATTCAGAATTGCTTTGACTTTTTTGTCTTTATTTTAAAACTTCAAAGAATTTTAAAGGAAGGTATGAGATTTTTATGCTTATCAAAGGTAGTCACAAATGAAAAATGTTGAGAGTCCCTGTTTTAAGTTACTCTTATAACATCTCTAGAGAAACAGAGCTATATTAGGGGTATGGCCAAGGGCATTTGAAATTATACTTTATTTACCAAAAAATATATGGGCATTTTTTTCTAAAACATTGTGTGGCTCAAGGTCTATATCTATAATCTATATAAGACTTCTAGAGATCAGAAAAATAAAATAGTCTACTCAAAGGGCCACAAGTGAACAGCAAAGCCAGAAGTAACATCTGACTTGCCTGACTCCATATACCTATATTACCATTTTATTTCTCTATATTTTGTCCCAGAGTGCTGAAGGCATTTTTAAGATTGTAATGAATGTTAGCAGAAGTTTCTTAGTAAATATCAAAATGCTTAATGCCTGATGTTAATTTTATTTTTAAATTATCATTACGATGAGCTCCAAGACTACTAGATTGTTTTTTCATATGTGGAAAACGGACTGAATTCTCTGGATAATCTAGGACAGAATAAATACCTTAACTTTTATCTAAAACATTTAAACAGCTGAGCCAGATGGGATTGATTTATTTTCGCCTTTCTCTTTGCCACTATAGACATACGTAGGTTCTTTTCCATACGTGGTCAAGCAAACCACAACCCAACACAAGTTCAGCTGTTTTAATAATCCACTGGGCTTTCCACACAATGGAGTCAGCTGTAGGGTGTCCGGATAGATCAAGTGGACAGGCTTCAGCAAAGCACACAGACTGTTTCTTCTGAGCCTTTTCCTGGTTGGTTTAGTTGTACAATGTAAGTGAAGCTATAGTCTCATGGATCTTTAACAAAGAGTTAGACCATTGCTTTTTACATTCAAAAAAATAGCATCTTGTGTATTTAACAGTAAAAAATAACATTAATAATTGGATGAGCTCATTTACCCCAGAACAGACCAGAAAGGAATAAACATAAATTGTAGCTGGAGGCATTTGGGAAACTCTTTAGAATAAAGTGACCATATTTTCAAATTTTCTCTTTGGAATGGGAAAAAAAGGATACAGCGTAGGCAGGACCAGGAAGCCGGTCCAGCTGGTGGGACTAGGGACTCAGCAGGCCCCTTAGCCTCAGATGATTTAGAATGTCATACAGAGTATTCCAGAGCTTTCTGAAATCTTGGGAGTCCACAAAACTGAAAGCACTTTTAGGAAGTGTCTGGGGTCCAGAGGTATATTTGAAAGCTTGACAGTGAACCTGTGATAAGGGTGACACAGATGCTGTTGGGTTGCATGGTCAGAACTAGCCTAGGAAAAATTATAAAGTAGGTCAGATTTGTGCCACTTTCCTTCCCCCAACCCTTCATAGGCCTGCTCTTTTAGTAAACTCATTAGCGCCTTTCCTATGCCCAGTTTCCGTTCTCAGCTTATAAGGTGTTAGCTGGTCAGTGCTTAGAGTGAGTTCCTGTGAAGGGGTGCAACTTTACAATTTTTAAATATTGAGGTATTTCTGAAGGTCGCTAAGTTTTAAAGACTGTAAAGAATGAATCTATTCAGATTACATGGCAGGCAGTGGGTTGATCTTTTTTGGACAAGGCACCCTTAGAATCCAAAAGGTTTCTAACCCAATTGTATACAGACTACTAAACATCAGTTATTGTTAGAGCTTCCGTATCACCAAGTAAATTCAGATCAAGACCTTTACAAGGCAGTTTTTCTGTAGCTTTATATTTACTTCTGTTAACTGAGTTCAGATTGACCAGAGTTGGGATAAATTTCAGCCAAAAGCGATCATCTTTGCTGGCTTTACCTTTGAAAGTAAGGGCCCAACGCCCTGGGATGCATTACAAGTAAAGACTGAAGAATCTCCTATTCTGGAGCCCCTCATCAAAAGATAGCCTGGGGGGTATATTTCGGCCTCTATTTGTATGCTAATCTTATTCTCTCTATTATCGACTATACACTCCTTATTTGGCAGGACCTAGGGTTATAGTTGTGTTTCTTGTAGCGGCTAACACTATGCCTGACAAATAGTAAACATTCAGTAAAATTTGCTTAAGTGAAATATTTTATCAATCATTCAAACAGGAGTCATTGGGAAATGAACAAAATCCTGAGATAGAAAGATGGAATCGAAGAATGCTTCAGATGTTAAGTAGTTTGCGGGTAAGATGGTAGGGGTTTGTCAACCCTATTTTCATTTTTAAAATAAGTAAATGCTGACTTCAGTCTTCTAGATATTAATAAAAATGAAACCGTTTTTCAATATGTTTTTGTTGAGGTTAAATTATGCTAGAGTGAGATGGTTTTGAGCGGTATATCCCAGGCTAAATATGGGAGTTTGGTTTTGGTGCCTGTATGTTCTAAACAACTTCTTACTCATGCTCAAGCTCCGACATCTATTCTATGTCCCATTCTTGTTTTTAGCAGGTTATCAACCAATTCTCCATGTGGAACTTAGGTTATAACAGTTTAAGAGTAAGCCAGATAATTTCAAATTTTAACTTACATTTGTGTCAAAAGAATACATTATATAATTTTAAAAATTTAATAATACTATCCTAGAAGGCTGAAAAGGAAACCCAGAATTCCTTTGTCTTACCCTTCTTACTCCTAAGTCCTGCCTCACCAGGGGCAACTACGTTAAGCTATTTCTGTTAGTGTTTATATCCATATTTCTAATTGCATGTTTTTGCTTTCTTGATATTTCAGCTTTAAATGTTATCTATTTACTTCTTTCAGTAGAAAATGAAAATTTAGCTTAGTTACATCTCCTCCCTGGGCAGTATTTTTTAGCAGAGTATTCAGTGCTTACAATGTTATACTTGTAATAGTTTTGAGGCAGGTTTAATTGTGGCAGAGAGACATATCAATGCCTTAAAAAGATAGACGTTTATTTCTCTCTCAGGTAAAAGTACAATCTGGTATGGCAGCTATGCTCACAAAGTTGCCAGAGTCCCAGTTTCCCTTTATCTCATTTTCTTTTTCTCAGGACCCAAAATGGATGACTACCCACCATGTCTGCATTCCAATCAGTAGCAAAGCTTCCTTTAAGGGCACAGCCCAGTAATTGTGTGTATCACTTCTCTCACTCATTGCCCAGCACTTAGTCACTTTGGCACATCTAGCTGGGAAATATAGTCCTTATATGGCAACCGTGGGCCCAGCTAGTAATTCTATCACTACAGAAGAAGAGAATGGATAGTAAGGGACAACCAGCAGTTGCTACCACAAAGACTATGTAAAAATTAGTTCACATTGGAACTTCGTTGTGTAATTACATTTATTTTCTTGTCAGCTTTATAGGAAATTTTGGGCGAGGGGCAGGGGTAATCATTACCTCATTTTTTCTATTAGCATAGTGTCTATATACCCACCCTTAATTCTTTCCCCAAACTTGCTGGAGACATAATTTTTTAAAATCCTTTTAGTGTGGTCAAATATAGCAATTAATTCATCAGTTCCTTTTTTTTTTTTCTTTAAGAAATCCCTTCTGAAACTCATCATCCTCTTGTTCTAATCTGGATTAATTGCTCTGTAGGTCGGCTCCATAGTTTTTGTCTTGGAACATTGTTTTACTTACCATACATAGGAATTCCTGTGTCTCTTTCTTATTCCTCTATTTCTTGGTACTTTGATCTTCCTCTCAGTTAACATCCTCTCGTAATTTCCTGAGATAAAGAGTGCATGGGCGATAGAGACCCTACATA